GGAACAGTTGAAACAGTGCCTCACCTGGTAGGTGGAACAGTTGAAACAGTGCCTCACCTGGTAGGTGGAACAGTTGAAACAGTGCCTCACCTGGTAGGTGGAACAGTTGAAACAGTGCCTCACCTGGTAGGTGGAACAGTTGAAACAGTGCCTCACCTGGTAGGTGGAACAGTTGAAACAGTGCCTCACCTGGTAGGTGGAACAGTTGAAACAGTGCCTCACCTGGTAGGTGGAGCAGTTGAAACAGTGCCTCACCTGGTAGGTGGAGCAGTTGAAACAGTGCCTCACTGGTAGGTGGAGCAGTTGAAACAGTGCCTCACACTGGTAGGTGGAGCAGTTGAAACAGTGCCTCACCTGGTAGGTGGAACAGTTGAAACAGTGCCTCACCTGGTAGGTGGAACAGTTGAAACAGTGCCTCACCTGGTAGGTGGAGCAGTTGAAACAGTGCCTCACCTGGTAGGTGGAGCAGTTGAAACAGTGCCTCACCTGGTAGGTGGAGCAGTTGAAACAGTGCCTCACCTGGTAGGTGGAGCAGTTGAAACAGTGCCTCACCTGGTAGGTGGAGCAGTTGAAACAGTGCCTCACCTGGTAGGTGGAGCAGTTGAAACAGTGCCTCACCTGGTAGGTGGAGCAGTTGAAACAGTGCCTCACTGGTAGGTGGAACAGTTGAAACAGTGCCTCACCTGGTAGGTGGAACAGTTGAAACAGTGCCTCACCTGGTAGGTGGAACAGTTGAAACAGTGCCTCACCTGGTAGGTGGAACAGTTGAAACAGTGCCTCACCTGGTAGGTGGAACAGTTGAAACAGTGCCTCACCTGGTAGGTGGAACAGTTGAAACAGTGCCTCACCTGGTAGGTGGAACAGTTGAAACAGTGCCCTGGTAGGTGGAACAGTTGAAACAGTGCTCACATGGTAACAGTTGAAACAGTGCCTCACCTGGTAGGTGGAACAGTTGAAACAGTGCCTCACCTGGTAGGTGGAACAGTTGAAACAGTGCCTCACCTGGTAGGTGGAACAGTTGAAAACAGTGCCTCACCTGGTAGGTGGAACAGTTGAAACAGTGCTCACCTGGTAGGTGGAACAGTTGAAACAGTGCCTCACCTGGTAGGTGGAACAGTTGAAACAGTGCCTCACCTGGTAGGTGGAACAGTTGAAACAGTGCCAGCAGCAAGATTCACCCTCGACGTACTTCTTGGCTTGACCAGTAAGACAAGGTAAAGAACACACGCTGGAGGGCGGTGATGGGTCTCTCAACTTGAACTGCAGAGCTGAGGAGGGGGAGAGACAGAGCTGAGGTGGGGGAGACAGAGCTGAGGAGGGGGAGACAGAGCTGGGGAGGGGGAGAGACAGAGCTGAGGTGGGGGAGAGACAGAGCTGAGGAGGGGGAGACAGAGCTGGGGAGGGGGAGAGACAGAGCTGGGGAGGGGGGGAGAGACAGAGCTGAGGTGGGGGAGAGACAGAGCTGAGGTGTGGGAGAGGACAGAGCTGAGGTGGGGGAGAGACAGAGCTGGGGGGGGGGGAGAGACAGAGGGGGGGGAGAGACAGAGCTGAGGTGGGGAGAGACAGAGCTGGGGAGGGGTGAGAGACAGAGCTGAGGTGGGGGAGAGAGACAGAGCTGAGGAGGGGGAGAGACAGAGCTGAGGTGGGGGAGAGGACAGAGCTGAGGTGGGGGAGAGACAGAGCTGAGGTGGGGGAGAGACAGAGCTGAGGTGGGGGAGAGACAGAGCTGGGGGTGGGGGAGAGACAGAGCTGGGGAGGGGGGAGAGACAGAGCTGAGGTGGGGGAGAGACAGAGCTGGGGAGGGGGAGAGACAGAGCTGAGGTGGGGGGAGAGACAGAGCTGAGGTGGGGGAGAGACAGAGCTGGGGAGGGGGGAGAGAGACAGAGCTGAGGTGGGGGAGAGACAGAGCTGAGGGTGGGGGAGAGACAGAGCTGAGGTGGGGGAGAGACAGAGCTGGGGAGGGGGAGAGAGACAGAGCTAAGGTGGGGAGAGACAGAGCTGAGGTGGGGGAGAGGACAGAGCTGAGGGGGGGGAGAGACAGAGCTGGGGTGGGGGGAGAGACAGAGCTGAGGAGGGGGAGAGACAGAGCTGAGGTGGGGGAGAGACAGAGGGAGGTGGGGGAGACAGAGCTGGGGAGGGGGAGAGACAGAGCTGAGGTGGGGGAGACAGAGCTGAGGTGGGGGAGACAGAGCTGGGGAGGGGGGAGAGACAGAGCTGAGGGGGGGGAGACAGAGCTGGGGAGGGGGAGAGACAGAGCTGAGGTGGGGGAGAGACAGAGATGGGGAGGGGAGGAGAGAGAAGAGGAGGGGGAGAGACAGAGGAGGAGGGGGAGACAGAGCTGGGGGGGGGGGAGAGAGAGACAGAGCTGAGGTGGGGGAGACAGAGCTGGGGAGGGGGAGAGACAGAGCTGAGGTGGGGGGAGACAGAGCTGGGGAGGGGGAGAGACAGAGCTGAGGAGGGGGGCGAGATACAGAGCTGAGGGAGGGGGAGAGACAGAGCTGAGGTGGGGGAGAGACAGAGCTGAGGAGGGGGAGAGACAGAGCTGAGGTGGGGGGAGAGACAGAGCTGGGGAGGGGGAGAGACAGAGCTGAGGTGGGGGAGACAGAGCTGGGGAGGGGGAGAGACAGAGCTGAGGAGGGGGAGACAGAGCTGGGGAGGGGGAGAGAGGAGGGGGGGGAGAGACAGAGCTGAGGAGGGGGAGAGACAGAGCTGAGGAGGGGGAGAGAGACAGAGCTGGGGGTGGGGGAGAGACAGAGCTGAGGAGGGGGGAGACAGAGCTGGGGAGGGGGAGAGACGGAGCTGGGGAGGGGGAGAGAGAGAGACAGAGCTGAGGTGGGGAAGAGAGACAGAGCTGAGGAGGGGGAGACAGAGCTGGGGAGGGGGAGAGACGGAGCTGGGGAGGGGGAGAGACAGAGCTGAGGAGGGGGAGAGACAGAGCTGAGGAGCGGGAGAGACAGAGCTGAGGAGGGGGAGAGACAGAGCTGAGGAGGGGGAGAGCCTACAGAGCTGAGGAGGGGGAGACAGAGCTGAGAGAGACAGAGCTGAGGGGGGGGAGACAGAGCTGGGGAGGGGGAGAGACAGAGCTGAGGGGGGGGTAGAGAGAGACAGAGCTGAGGTGGGGGGAGAGACAGAGCTGAGGAGGGGGAGAGACAGAGCGGAGGAGGGGGAGAGACAGAGCTGAGGAGGGGGAGACAGAGCTGAGGAGGGGGAGAGACAGAGCTGAGGAGGGGGAGAGACAGAGCTGAGGAGGGGGAGAGACAGAGCTGGGGAGGGGGAGAGACAGAGCTGGGGAGGGGGAGAGACAGAGCTGGGGAGGGGGAGAGACAGAGCTGGGGAGGGGGAGAGACAGAGCTGGGGAGGGGGAGAGACAGAGCTGGGGAGGGGGAGAGACAGAGCTGGGGAGGGGGAGAGGACAGAGCTGGGGAGGGGGGAGAGACAGAGCTGAGGTGGGGGAGAGACAGAGCTGAGGTGGGGAGACAGAGGCTGGGGGGAGGGGGGAGAGACAGAGCTGGGGAGGGAGGAGAGACAGAGCTGGGGAGGGGGAGAGACAGAGCTGAGGTGTGGGAGAGACAGAGCTGAGGTGGGGGAGAGACAGAGCTGAGGAGGGGGAGAGAGACAGACCTGAGGTGGGGGAGACAGAGCTGGGGAGGGGGAGAGACAGAGCTAGGGACAGGGGGAGACACAGCTGGGAGAGAGGGAGAGGGAGGTGTTGACTGCACAACAAGGGTGTAAAACATGTTACATATTTAGGACGTGGCAAGTTGACTATCACTGTCTATAATGACTCTGGCCTTCATGCCTCGACAACCTAAACTAATTTATAGTTCACAATGTTTCCACTGGGCATCCAGGCGGGTGAGGATGCTTTCAGTGGTCATCCAGGCGGGTGAGGATGCTTCCAGTGGACATCCAGGCGTGTGAGGATGCTTCTAGTGGGCATCCAGGCGGGTGAGGATGCTTCTAGTGGGCATCCAGGCGGGTGAGGATGCTTCCAGTGGACATCCAGGCGGGTGAGGATGCTTTCAGTGGTCATCCAGGCGGGTGAGGATGCTTCCAGTGGACATCCAGGCGTGTGAGGATGCTTCCAGTGGTCATCCAGGCGGGGTGAGGATGCTTCAGTGGTCATGAGGATGCTTCCAGTGGACATACAGGCGGGTGAGGATGCTTCCAGTGGTCATCCAGGCGGGTGAGGATGCTTCCAGTGGACATCCAGGCGGGTGAGGATGCTTTCAGTGGTCATCCAGGCGGGTGAGGATGCTTCCAGTGGGCATCCAGGCGGGTGAGGATGCTTCCAGTGTAAGGACCTCGCTTTTCTAACCAATCTATTTCCCTCTAATATATTTACTACATATATTTATCTCTAACACACACTCCAGGAAGCAGCCCGTAGCAGCTGTCTAACTCCCAGGTAACTGTATACTGCTAGGTGAACAGATGCATCAGGGGGGAAAGAAACTCTGCCCATTTGTTTCCGCCTCCACCGGGAATTGGACCCGGGCCATTAGGACTACGACCCCCCCGAGCGTTGTCCACTCAGCTGCGAGGCCCCTGTGTATGTGTTTGTGTGTGTGTGTTTACTATTTGTGTCGATAGAATCGAGCTATTAGCTCCTGGACCCCGGCTTTTTAACCATTCTATTTTCTAGTATAATATCTACTACATATTTCTTACCCACACACACACACACACACACACACAAAAAAAAAAAAAAAAATGGGCGCTGGAGGCTGAGTGGACAGCACGCTGGATACGTAGTCCTGTGGTACGGGGTTCGATCCCAGGAAACGGGATAACGAAAACAGAGGGGCAGAGTTTCTTTAACCCTCATGCTCTGTTCACCTAGCAATAAATACTTACCTGAGAGTTAGACAGCTGTGACGGGCTGCTTCGTTGTGTGTGTACACTCACCTAGTTGTGCTTGCCGGGGTTGAGCTCTGGCTCTTTGGTCCCGCCTCTCAACCGTCAATCAACAGGTGTACAGGTTCCTGAGCCTATTGGGCTCTATCATATCTACACTTAAAGCTGTGTATGGAGTCAGCCTCCACCACATCACTTCCTAATGCATTCCATTTGTCTACTACTCTGACACCGAAAAAAATCTTTCTAACGTCTCTATGGCTCATTTGGGCACTCAATTTCCACCTGTGTCCCCTAGTGTGTGTGGCCCTTGTGTTACATAGTCTGTCCTTATCTACCATATCGATTCCTCTGAGAATCTTGTATGTGGTGATCATGTCCCCTCTAACTCTTCTGTCTCCCAGTGACGTGAGGGTTAATTTCCGTAGTCTCTCCTCGTAGCTCATACCCCTCAGGTCGATTACTAGTCTGGTGGCAAACCTTTGAACCTTTTCCAGTTTAGTCTTATGCTTGAATAGATATGGACTCCATGCTGGAGCCACATACTCCAAGTCTGGTCTGACATATGTGGTATGTAATGTTCTGAAAGAGTCCTTACTCAAGTTTCCAAAGGCCGTTCTTATGTTGGCCAACCTGGCATATGCCGCTGATGTTATCCTCTTGATATGATTATAACATGTTACACATACACACACACACGCGCGCGTGTGTGTGTAACAATTTCAATAGCTTTTTTTCTACAGAGAAAAAATATATCGAGAAAAATACAGAGAAAAATATGAATACCGAGGCGTTATTTGACGCCTCGGTATTTAGTAACGTTTTGGATATAAAAACATTCCAATAGAAAGACCAATTAGGCATGCAAACACAGCCAAAACCAAGCCCTCTCTCCGGGCACAGGTGGGCCTGTGCTCGGTACCTCTCCGGGCACAGGTGGGGCCTGTGCTCGGTACCTCTCCGGGCACAGGTGGGGCCTGTGCTCGGTACCTCTCCGGGCACAGGTGGGGCCTGTGCTCGGTACCTCTCCGGGCACAGGTGGGGCCTGTGCTCGGTACCTCTCCGGGCACAGGTGGGGCCTGTGCTCGGTACCTCTCCGGGCACAGGTGGGGCCTGTGCTCGGTACCTCTCCGGGCACAGGTGGGGCCTGTGCTCGGTACCTCTCCGGGCACAGGTGGGGCCTGTGCTCGGTACCTCTCCGGGCACAGGTGGGGCCTGTGCTCGGTACCTCTCCGGGCACAGGTGGGGCCTGTGCTCGGTACCTCTCCGGGCACAGGTGGGGCCTGTGCTCGGTACCTCTCCGGGCACAGGTGGGGCCTGTGCTCGGTACCTCTCCGGGCACAGGTGGGGCCTGTGCTCGGTACCTCTACGGGCACAGGTGGGGCCTGTGCTCGGTACCTCTCCGGGCACA